ATGAAGTCGAAGTAGTTCCAAAGTTTTCTCCACACCTTCTTCTTTGGTCAGGTCACATTGGTTGTGCAAGCCTGCGCGGCCACCGTAACCTCCAGCTGCATGCACGGCCTGGATCAACAAGCTTTCGGGGCCGCAACATAGTTCGAGCACGTCCCAGTGCTCTCTTGCAGCAATGCCTCCATGAGCCAGGAAGATCTCGTCATTCTCCATCACCAGCTCATTCATAGCTTCCCATGCAAATGCTGCATCTTTGTCACTCAGCCGAGTGTCATAGGGGATGTCCTCCTCAAAGTTCTCCATGGCAGGTGTTTCAAAGGACTTGCCATCGGTCATCACCGGGTCATTCTTGAAAAGGTGGGCATTCGGTGGAACTTTGACATTCGGAGGGACCTGAGCATTCTTGAGGAAGCGGACATTCTCAGAAGTCAGGTCATTCGAATTCAACTGGTCATTCGATTGGATGGCATTGTCTTCAGACATGTTGGCATTCTCAGTAGCGCCATCCCTGACCAGGACCTCATTCAACTCGATGCGCCGGTTCGCTTCTCTGGAGATGTCACGGTCGACCACGAGCGATCCTCCCGGTCGGCGTACTCCACCTCCTCTGCTGCCCGCTCGTTGCGGCGGGATTTGCTCCCAGGAACCATGGAGAGAAGTTCCTTGTCCGTCGGAGCTGGACTTGGCACATACTCCTCCTCGTCGTCGGGGATCTCGACCACTGAGCTTGGAGTCCGAGGAACAGGAGTCTGATTGCTGCTGGGCGCTGTGGTCTCGTTGGAGTCGGGAGAGCGAGGTGCATATCCCGCTGCCGCCTTGCGAGCTCTGATGTTGTCCAGCTTGCTCATCAGCGAACGTTCTGCTCCATCCAATCCCACCGCCTGAGTGCGAAGCAATGGGTTGTATGGAGCTTTTTCTTTGAGCTCCTCCACCTGTCGACGAGTGTCCTCTGGGATCGGACCTGCTTGTCGATGAAGTCCTGTCGCCCCGAACGCCGGGGTATAGGACAGGCGAAGCTGGCAGCGCTCGCACCCCACCCATGTCGCATGTCCATTGCTCCCTGACACACTTCCACGGTATGCTGCTGCTGGAGTGTGGTTGCCCCAGCAAGGAGCTCCGAGGGTTCGAGGATCCCTCGGATCTGCAGCCACCGTGCGACTCTCGTCGTACTTCTCCTCCCAGGTGGCCGAGGACTTGGTCTTCTTCTTGTCCATCTTGTCGCCCTTGCCAGAGCTCTTGGAGGGCTCTTCGATCTTTGCCTTGGCTTTCGCCTTCGCAGCAGCTGCTTGCAACATGGCTGACCGAGTTGATGAGGGAGGCAGTCGATGCAAGGATGGCCAACGCCTTCCAAGACATAGCCGTTCTTTGAGCCTCTGTGTCAACGGCGGTGGATGACGAAGAGTGATCATGTACTCCAACATGTTCATGACGCACTGCAAAACACTGTGACAAAAACTCTTCTGCATGAGGTTCATCAAGACTCTCAAAAATCTCCAACTCATGAGGGGCAAGAAGAGAGGAAGGAGTGCAAACAAAGGAATGCTCACGCCGATCATGGTGCACATGCCGTTCATGAAGACTGTCACCTTCACATACCTCAGAACCTTTCTCAACCACGAAACACGACGGGCTGCCAGGCACATATTGCTGCTTTCCAGAGAGCTCTTCAGTGAAAAGAATCTTGGTAGCTTGACTCAACCAATCGTGAGTGAGGTCCATGAGAAGGTGACCGGATCCACTCTGTTTCAGCGGAACCAACAAGGATGCATCGATGGCCGTGAGCACCATCGCGGAACGTGAAGTATCTATGATTGCTCCAAGTCGGGTGAGGGTTTTGATCCCCACCAACACTGGAACTCCATTGGCCTCTAGGGTGTAGATGCCAAGTGACAAGCTATGCTCACCAAGCCGCTGAGGCAGCAAAATCAAGGATTCAGACTGCTGCGTCATTCCATTTCCAAACTTGAAGGTCTTCTGGGGCACATCGACGACCGTGAAGTCGCCAGAAGAAGCACCTGCAGCAGCACGCTTGTGCATGATCCATTCCAAAGCGCTCAGGCCACAAACGGTCTCGGTGGCTCCAGTGTCAAGCACTCCGAAACCTTCCATCTCGGGCGAACTGACTTCGCCCACCTTCATGACACTCAAGGGCCTTTCAGGCTCGGACCAGGCGTGGAAAACAAAGGTCTCCTCAAGCTCTTGCGCCTCCTCAACCATGAAGACTTTTCCACTGCCAAAACCTTTTCCACTCTTCGAGCGCTTGGGACAAGAGCGAAAGTCGTGATCTTTCGCCCCACAAATGAAGCAGCCTGAGTACGAAGGAGACCCAGGCTTTCCAGCACCATGCACTGCCAAGACAGGGGATGCCGTAGATGAAGACGAGAAGGTAGGACGGGCATAGCCTTTACCTTTCTTTCCATGGCCTTTGCCCTTCCATTTTCCTTTCGGAAAGAAACCTCTGCTGGCTTGTTTGGCAGCATGAGCACGTCGACTGTCCTGGAAGGTCCTCATCTTCTCTTCGTAGGCCGCATAGGCCTCAACCACGGGCTTGGCTTCATCAGGTGAACTCCACAAAACTGAGTTCCAAGCTTCGGACTCACTCCATGACCAGAAAGCTCCATTGACGTCCTGGTGGTAGTACTCACCATCACTTTCCAAATTCCACCAGACATAGGCGCCTGGTAGTTGAGGGTCTGCGGCAAAGAAACCATCTTCTTGGCCATAGCGGTCCTCAGTGTCAGGTCTGGACGATGGAGTGGAGGGAGTTTCCCAAGCCGGAAAGGCTTGTTCCAGGGCATTCGTTGAGAGCCAGTGGACATCATTCTGTTCCAAGATGTCCTCAGCATCAGCTTCCTCCGTCAGGAGAATGCCCCATTGGTCATCTTGCTCGATCCAGAAGGTGTTGCGACGCTTTCCTTTCGAATGCCCTTTTGGACGTCCTTCGCGTTCTCGCTCAACCAAACGAAGCTCATCTTCAGCTCCTCGTAGGCCACGTTCAACATCTTCTGCTTTGAGCGAGTTCCCAATGCTGGAGAGCACATTCAACCGTTGAGCTGCATTGAGGGCGGACTTCCTCAACATGATCCAACCGATCA